ACTCATCTCGGCTCTACCATCTGCCATGGGACGCCCACTTTTGCCCAGCCTGCTTTCCCTGTCAGGGCGCTTCAGCAACTAGCTGATTCACACTCAGTGTGAATCCTAGCCCCAGGGCACTGGGGTAGAGGGAAGGGCTAGGGCCAGGGGGTAGTGGGTTGGAAGTGGGCCGTGCCAGCTAAGGCCAGGTACTTTGCAGGGACATGCTCTGAAGCCACTCGGTGTGTAGTGGGGCAGGAGGACGCTACGGAAAGATCCTCACCAGTCCACCATGCTGTGACATTATTGACATGAACTGTGACCGTATAGATCATTGTTGCACCCAGGGTCCTATGGCTGCACCAAGTCTTGTACAGAGGAGGTCAAATTGGGTGTCTATGGAAAGACTGTATTTGCTGGTTATGCTTATGCTGTTTGTATGTGTGTACCATTTTTGTATTTTAAGTTATGAATATTGGCTATGGACTTGTATCTCAATGTGTTTGATTCTAATTAGCCTCAGGGAAGCATTTGGTCAGCTTCTTGAGAAAGGACTATTCTCAGTAAGTGCCTAGTCAAGAAATATTTAATTGACAGTGGACTTTGGGAGACGCCAATCCACATGTGAGCTGTCCTTGGGAACGTTCAAACTAACATGTAAACACTGGTGTCGGCCTGCAAAAAGCTGAATCATTCATGGACATGTGATTTGTCCATGTGGCTACAAACTCCATCTTGTTGCTGTGATTTTGCACACAAGAACAAGGGGTTTCTGGCCAGAAGAGGAAGAATATAAAAGGCCCTGGAACCCCCTCCATTTTGTCTTCAGCTGGCTCAAGAGATGGCCTCTCCACCCACAAGAGATGCCTGAAAGAGACTGGAACAAAGGCCCAGATCAGAGTCATGGGGCCAGATCAGAACCAGCGCCCCCAAGAGCGGAAGGGCCTTGTGTCCCATTCCCCAGCCCCCTGAGATAGCCAATCCCCCTGCTCTAGGGCCAGATCAGAGCTGAATCCCCTTAGAAGGAAAATTCCTCATATCCCCTTCTGGATCCCTTGGCAATAGCAGTGTCTTGCAAATATCAGCTGGGGGATATTAATACCCCCTAATAACACGGCCCATCTCCCTGTAGCTCTTTCCCACTGTGACGTTCCCCTCTGGTGTCATCTGGACTGGTGATCTGCTAGGTCACGCCAATGCTTGATTCTGGGAGCCAGCCTTACCCTGCTCTGCTGTGAGAACCCCCACTCCTGGGCTGGTCACACACAACCTCTCGCATTCAAGCTGCTCTTTGTATTGTGCAACCGAACGACACGAGCCAATATCTCCGGTCCCAGACACTACCCTGGGAACCTCCGTCTGGCAGTGTCCAGTTATACCCGCTGGATGCTGCAAGCATATATAAGTTCGTCAATTTAACAATAAAATTGATATGTACCAGGCTTGTTATCGCAAGGGGAGTCTCTGACACGCTTCAAACCGAACGCACTGCATCAGGTAGAATACACAAACAGATATATTACTATAAAGATAAATTTTAACTGATTATCAGTCAAAGCACAAGAAGTCAGTATCAGTCAAATGAAATAAAAGCAAAACACATTCTAAGCTGATCTTAACGCTTTCAATGCCCTTACAAACTTAGGGCCTGGCTACATTTGCCGATGTAGAGTGCTGTGAGTTAAACCCGCCTTCGTAGACCGCAGTAGGGAAAGCCCTGCAGTCTGTCCACACGGACTGCTCACTGGCGTGGCCACATTTGCAGCACTTGCAGCGGCATTGGGAGCGGTGCATTGTGGGCAGCTATCCCAGCATGCAAGTGGCTGCAATGTGCTTTTCAAATGGGGGGAGGGGGGGTGAAGTATGACAGGGAGTGTGTTGTGTGTATGTGGGGGGAGAGAGAGTGGGTTTTTGGGGTTCTGAGAGTGTGTCTGCATGCTATCTTGTGAGTTCAGACCCCCCTTCTGCCCCCCGCCTCTCTCTCACTCACTCAAAGCAAACAGTAAATGTTTACTTTTTCTCCGGCTTCTCCGAAACGGAGCTTTCAACGGGCATTTCCGCATTCCTGCAGCCGACTTCACAACAATGACAAGAGTGGCCACTTGACTTAAGGGGATTATGGGACGTTTCCGGAGGCTGACGAGTAATGCAACACCTCGTTCACATTGGCGCCGCGGCGCTCCAGGGGGGGGTGCGGCAAACGCTATTCCACTCGCCGAGGTGGAGACCAGCAACGCTGTAGCCGTGGAGTCAGAGCGCTCTACGTGCCTTGCCCGTGTGGACGGGGAGTGAGCTAGGGCGCCCGGGGCTCCTTTACTGTGCTGTAACTCGCAAGTGTAGCCAAGCCCTTAGATGCTTCTTACCACAGGCTGGCTGGCTGCTCTGCAGCCAAACTCTCCCCTTTGATCAGCGCTTCATTCGCTTGGTGTAGTGTCCGTAGATGTAGGTGGAAGAGAGAGAGAGCATGGCAAATGTCTCTCCCTTTTACCATGTCCTTTCTTCTCTCTTGGCTTTGCCCCCCCCCCCCCCCGACCCCCTTTAGAGTCAGGTGAGCATTACCTCATTGCAGTCCCAAACTGACCAAGGGAAGGGGGTGACTCCCTCGAGAGTCTAACAGATTCTTTTGCTGTTGCCTAGGTCAGCAACCTAGGATGCTCCCCCGAGGTACAGAGCGTCACACCCCCCCACCACACCGCACCAGACAGAAGCCACTTCCTTTGACTGGCATTAGCCACATTACACCAGATTCCCCATTGCAGCAAATTCATCCAGCTGTCTAGCTCCCCTGTCTTGCCAGCCTTGCTTCCCTATATCCCAGAGCTCCCCGTAGTGTTCCCAAGCACGTATTGTAGCCGCTCATTTCGACTCTAGATCTAGGTCCAGCCCACTGTTAAGGAAAAGTTAGCACATGTGACTCCATTTTGGTTTGGGGCCCACCATTGTTTAAATGCCAGCACATCATACACCAGGAGGAGTGATCCTTAGATACTGAATCCCTGTGAAAATCCTCCTCCTTGTCTCCAGCCTGCCTTGACTCCCAGTATCTGGTTTTTGTCAGTCTCTAACTCCCTGTCTCTTGGCCTTGATGTGAGGCCTCCCATCCTGATAATAAAAGTTACTGATGCATGGCTTTAGGACCATGCTGTGTAATTAACATACTGGTATAGCACGAGGAATGCACCAAGCAGGGATAGGTGGTAGATAAGACAAGGGTTTGTTTATTGGCTAAGGTTTCCGATGCACGAGGGCAACATGCTTTGCTAAAAGGTATATAACCTTTGTATAATCTGCATTCAGGGTCCCCTCCTGGCTAGCAGGGGGGCACCACACTCGAACGTAATAAACTTAGTGTCTTTTGGGAACTCTGCAGTTGTGGACTTTATTTCTGTGCCTCAGCCTAGATTCGAACTGTGCGTGACCTATCAGGTATAATTCGCAGCACTTGTGTGCGTGTCCTACAAGGTGTAATTAGTAGCACTTGTGTGCGTGTCCTACCAGGAGTAATTCGTAGCACTTGTGTGCGTGTCCTACCAGGTATAATTCGCAGCAGTTGTGTGCGTGTCCTACAAGGTGTAATTCGTAACACCACTGAGGTTAGAAAAATCACAAGACTTCCTGCTTAGAAATTTGATTTCACACATGTTTATTGAGGCAGGGAGATACATTTGCAAAGATCCAGAGACCTGGAATCCTCCCAGAAACAAATCATTTTGCAGTGGTGCTGCAAAGCTGCATGGTAGTTTTCCAGGCTGGAGATGTTTAACTTGCAGTCAGTAGGGTTCAGAGTTAACCACACCCATCATCAGTGAGGTGCACTGTGGAGCTATTGATCTAGGCTCTCACCAGATGCAGGTAGAAGCGAGGCAGGAAGAATCTTTAATCCCTGAATTAGGGAGAATTTGCTCTTCCCAAATGTGACCCCAATGCAGTGCCATCTCCCTGAGCCTGCTGACAGCCTCAATCAATAGCCCTGTGGCATGTTCTCCTGGGTATTAACTCTGAAGCTTCCTGACGGTGAGTGATACGTCATCATCTGTGACGACCATCTGAGCAGAGAACATCCAGCTGGTTGGTGGGTGGGGCCTGTGTATTTATAATGATATAACTCACCCCAAAGCAGCTGGGTAATTGTGGAAAGCAACAGAAACAACATTTAGGGAACAGCCCCCTAATGAATCCTCCCCCTGGAACCCCGGCCCATCTGCTGGGTGTTTTGAACCATGTCCACCCTGGAATATCTTCAGATTTCTACAGAGGGTTGATCACTGAAGCCGCAATAGGACAGGGCTAAGCTCTGGACCTTATCCCTTCCTGCAGAGAACATCAGTTTCCCAGTGGATACACTAGACAGATAAATACCGTTGGTGGCTGAAGACATGGGGCGGTGGATTGGTTGCCCGGCCTGCACATCTTGGTTGACTGGTTGGTTGGATGTACTTGGGACATTCATTGGTTGGTTGGATGTACTTAAGACCTTAGTCGGTTGCTTGGTTAGTTATATTGGATGCACTGGATCAGTAGTTTTCAACCCGCAGCCACTTGTGCCCCAGTCAGCGCACAGCTGACGCTCGTGTCACATCTGAGGGCCAAACAGATAATATATATGCACTGCGGATGTGGCCAAAATAACACAGAGAGCCGCATATGCAACCCACAATGCAACCTCCCCTGCATATGCAACCCAAAATGGTAAATAGGTTGAGAACAGGTATGCAGTAGGTACATACATTAGTTTGTTGATTGGATGGATACATTGGATGCTTGGAATCATTGGACAGGCTGGTCTGATGGATTTGAAATGGACGGTTCTTGATGGGATGTTTTCCCAGAGGGAGCTGTGAGGATAACGGACCCACAGGAGCAGACGTCTCTTATGGGCATAGGAGACCCCGATTCCCAAGCAGGAGGGACAGCATGAAGCTCAGCAGCATCAGCAGAGCGGGAACTAGCAAATGGTTGGACAGGGAGTGCTATTGACCAATGCACACCCATGCCCCTCTCCGATCTCCTATCTAAGAGGCTCACCAGAAGGCCTCCACCTCCTTCCCCTTGGCTCTTCCCAGCTGGGGTGGCTGGGAGACATAATCAGAGCAGCTCGGCCCCCCGAGGTGGGGCCCACAGCGCAGGCTGTACTGGAACCAGATGCGGCCATGGTTCAGGTAGCAATCCTTCTGGTGGGGCCCCCCAGCCTCCAGCGGGATGTCGCAGCTTCCCAGCAGGTCATCGTCCCACTTGTTGTCCTCGTCCCAGACCTCTATGCGGATCTTGCTGGCGCTGGTGATGCGGACGGTACCGAAGTCCAAGGGGACGTTCCAGACGGGACTGTTGTTGTTCCAGATGGTGTCAGTTCGGATCTCCCTTCTCTCAAAGAAGACCTTGACAAAGGCATCCGTAGCAGTAAAGTAATCCCCCCACAGGCCGCTGGCCGTCTTCACTGTCACCATCAGCTTCCCCAGGCCGCGCTCCCGCGAGCAGCACATGGTGTTGGTCATGGTATCCCCGGGGCAGAGGCAGGAGCAGGGGTCATGGGCGCTGCGTTGAGTCCCTGGGGGGCAGCTTCGGGTGCAATTCCTCCACAGGGCCCTCTCACGGATGTACTCACTCACCGCCCGCCTCAGCGCCTCCCGCTTGGGGTCGTCCTGCTGCAGCAGGATGTGGATGGGGTGCAGCGAATAGGACACCAGGCCGGGGCTGGCTTTGAGGCTCTCCTTCCAGGCCGAGAAGACCTTGGCATCACTCCTGGAGAACAGCACATCAGTCGTGCTCTCTCCTCCCTCCACCTCCACGTGGCGCTCCCGATATGTCTCGTGGAAGCTCCCCTGGACCTTCCCCTTCTTCTTATTCTCCTCGCACTTGCTGTGCCCACCCTTGACTGAGCCCATTCCGATACTCACGGCTGCCTCCATGCTCAAGCAGTCCTTGATCTCGTCGTCAGTCAAGCTGCTCATTGACGCTTCGCAGACCCGCACGGCCGTCACATCCCGTGCCCGGCCCCCCAGCTGCAGCTGGGACACGTAGTGGGTGCCGTAGTTGCTGATTAGCTGCTGGTACTCCAGCTTGGATTTGCTGTCATACTGCTCCGGGAGGTTCTCCAGCGCCAGAGTGAAATGACTGGTGAGCGGGGGCGTCTCGCTGACCCGGAACCTGGTCAGGGACACAAGAGGTGGATTGTGCGCCCAGTGAGTCAGCTGAGGTTATTAGCTGCCAGTCCTAAGGCCCCAGCCAACCCAGAAGAAAGGGTCTAAGCAGGTGGCTCCTACTCAAAACAACCACCCATTGTGCTGAACCTCACAAGCTTGCTGGGGATACTGCTGGCTGCTTGATTGTTCTGACAAACTGCCCCCGCTCTGGTCATAGCAGGTCACCGGGCTGTCCTGACATGCATGAGAAGAAAATCCCCATAACTGTCCAGTCCCACGTGGGAGCCAGTGCCCCCTAGAGGGAAAAGGTCCTGTGTAGCGTTCCCTGCCTTCCTAGCTAACCAGTCCCCTGGCCTGGGGCCAGATCGGAGATGGTGCCTGCTAGAGGGGAAAGGTCCTGTGTCCCATTCCCCATTATCCTGAATCAGACCCCATCTTGGTGCCAGATTGAAGCCAGTGTTCCCTAGAGAGGAAAGGTTCTGTGTCACATTCTCTGCCCCCCTGAGCCAGCCCTCCTAGGTCTGGATCAGAGCTGGTGCCCCATAGAGGGGAAAGACCCCGTATCACTGTGTGCTGTTGCTGTGATCCCAATTTGAGGTGAGCCCTCCCGACCCAGGCTGGCTCTCACCTGTAATAGCCACAGGAGACCTCGTGGCTCATGAAGCTGTATTTGTCCATTCGCGTGTGGTCTACCACGAAACTGGCCAGTTTGGAGTGCGATCCAGCCAGGGCCACCTGCACATTAACCTTGGGCTTCACAGGCACGTCCAGCCCCACCTTCCAGTCATTCTGCACTGCGGATGCCGCCGAATCCATCATGCCCATCGCCGACTGCTGCACCGAGCTGCTCAGCTTCTGGCGGCACGAGACGCGGACCCTCCAGTCCACCATGGCCAGTGGCAGCCTCTGCCACTGCCCTCCTTGAAGTCGGTTCCGGCACAGGGTGCAGGTGCTGTCCTGATGTTGCCAGAGGCTGCTGTCTACCAGATAGGCCCCCTTTCTGGCCATCGTGGTCACATCGATGCCCTCCCCAGCCAGGCTGTGCCCGGGCACAAAGGCCGTGTGATTCTTGCATTCATTGACCGTGCCTGTGTGACAATGGGAGGAGGCCCCAGGGAAGATGAAGAAGAGGAGGGGGATGAAGGCACCAAATCTGAGCATGGCTGATATGATGGGTTCCCGCACCAAGGAGAGGCCGTCAGCCTCTGAACAGCCTAGAGGAACAGACACACAGAGGTCCAGAATTAGTGACAATCCAGTGGCAGGCGGTTCTGTAAGTTATCTCTGTTGTAGAGACAGAGACATCCACCTACCACCGACGACATCAGCCATGTTTTATTGCACACCTACGAAAACTCTGGGCTCTAGGAGGCATTACACAAATGACATGATGCCTCATTTGCATGTTTGACTACAGATTACCTAATCTGCATCAATTCCCTCCCCTCCCTATTTCCCAGATGTTGTAATTCCATCACTAAGTATGAGGAGGAGGAATAGTTTCACATGCCTACTCTACGGTGCGCAATATAATAATACGTCATTGCAATTCCTCAATGGGGCCACTAGAGGGCGGTGCCACGTGGCTTGTACTGAGTGAGCTGATTCAGTGGCTGGGTCTGGCCACTAGGGGACAGTGCAAAGCCACGCACAACCCATGTCATGGCTTTTTAACCGGCAAGAGCAGCGGGAGCTTGGGTCATGCTAGGCATGACTGGCTTTGCCGTAGAACCTACTGGGGCCCCCTTGTGGCCACGCCATGTGGTGGATTTGGTTATGTTGGACTACTGATGGAGGGTCATTTTCTGGGGTTATTCATGGTCAGCATCAGCCCTAGCGTCTGTCGTTGCCACCTTGACACTGCAGCTGTTGGGGAAAGAAGGCAGGAAATGTTACCACCCCGGAAGAGATCCTGGGCCCATCTAACCTCTTATCTTGCTCCCTCCGTTTTGCCCTGGATCAGGCCCATGGGCCCATCTAGCCCAATATCCTGACCCCTCCCTGCTACCCAGAGTAGACCCATAGAATAATAGAATCATAGAACTGGAAGAGACCTCGAGAGGTCATCTAGTCCAGTCCCATGCACTCAAGGCAGGGGTAAGTATTATCTAGACCATCCCTGACAGGTGTTTGTCCAACCTGCTCTTAAAAATCCCCAGTGATGGAGATTCCACAACCTCCCTAGGCGATTGATTCCAGGGCTTAACCACCCTGACAGGTAGGAAGTTTTTCCTAATGTCCAACCTAAACTGCCCTTGCTGCAATTAGGCCCATTGCGTCTTGTCCCATCCTCAGAGGTTAAGAAGAACAATTTTTCTCCCTCCTCCTTGTAACAACCTTTTATGTACTTGACAACTGTTATCACATCCCCCTCAGTCTTCTCTTCTCCAGACTAAAGAAACTCAGTTCTTTCAATCTTCCCTCGTAGGTCATGTTTTCTAGACGTTTAATCATTTTTGTTGCTCTTCTCTGGACTCTCTCCAATTTGTCCACACCCTTCCTGAAATGTGGCCCCCAGAACTGGACACAATACTCCACTTGAGGCCTAATCAGTGCAGAGTAGAGTGGAAGAATTACTTCTCGTGTCTTGTTTACAACACTCCTGCTAATACATTGTCAAGGTTCCTTCCCCACTCTGAACTCTAGGGTCCAGATGTGGGGACCTGCATGAAAACCTTCTAAGCTTACTTTTACCAGCTTAGGTTAAAACTTCCCCAAGGTACAAACTATTTTACCCTTTGCCCTTGGACTTCCACTGCCACCACCAAACGTTTATCCGGGTTCCTGAAAAAACGTAGTTTGGAAACATCTTTCCCCCCAAAATCCTCCCAACCCTTGCACCCCACTTCCTGGGGAAGGTTTGGTAAAAATCCTCACCAATCTGCATAGGTGACCACAGACCCAAACCCTTGGATCTTAGAACAATGAAAAAGCATTCAGTTTCCTTACAAGAAGACTTTTAATAGAAGAAAAAAAAAAGAATCACCTCTGTAAAATCAGGATGGTAGATACCTTACAGGGTAATTAGATCAAAACATAGAGAAACCCTCTAGGCAAAACCTTAAGTTACAAAAAAGACACACAGACAGGAATAGTCATTCTATTCAGCACAGTTCTTTTCTCAGCCATTTAAAGAAATCATAATCTAACACATACCTAGCTAGATTACTTACTAAAAGTTCTAAGACTCCATTCCTGTTCTGTCTCTGGCAAAAGCATCACACAGACCCTTTGTTTTTCTCCCTCCTCCCAGCTTTTGAAAGTATCTTGTCTCCTCATTGGTCATGTGCCAGCAAGGTTACCTTTAGCTTCTTAACCCTTTACAGGTGAGAGGATTTTTCCTCTGGCCAGGAGGGATTTTAAAGGGGTTTACCCTTCCCTTTATATTTATGACAACATCCCAGAATGATCGCTTTTTTTGCAACAGTGTTACACTGTTGACTCATATTTAGCTTGTGATCTGCTCTGAACCCCAGATCTCTGTCCGCAGTCCTCCCTTCTCGGCCGTCATTTCCCATTCTGTATGTGTGCAACTGATTGTTCCTTCCTAAGTGGAGTACTTTGCATTTTTCCTTTTTGAATTTCATCCTGTTGACTTCAGACCATTTCTCCAGTTTGTCCAGAGCATTTTGAATTTTCATCCTATCCTCCAAAGCACTTGCAACCCTTCCCAGTTTGGTATCGTCCCCAAACTTTATCAGTGCACTCTCTATGCCATTATCTAAAACATTGATGAAGATATTGAACAGAACCAGACCCAGAACCCATCCCTGTGAGACCCCACTTGTTATGCCCTTCCAGCCTGGGAACCACTGATAACTACTCTCTGGGAACAGTTTTCCAGCCAGTTTTGCACCCACCTTATACTAGCTCCATCTAGGTTGTATTTCCCTAGTTTGTTTATGAGAAGGTCATGCGAGAAGGTATCAAAAGCCTTACTAAAGGGACCATCTAGCCTGCTATCCTGTCTTCTTCCTTCCGCCCCAGATGCTTTGAGCACCTCACACTTCTCTTTGCATCTCCTGCCTTACTAACCACAAGGGATGCTGTGTTAAATGTTGATTTGAATTATGTTCCACTTGGGTTGGAACAGTACAGCAAAGCTGGCTGTGGGGCAGGAAAGGGTAACAGCTCTGCATCCTGTCAGGGTAGCAGGCTCGGACTGGGAGGGGACAGTAAATGTTTGAACTCACCCCAGCGGAACCAGGCAGGAAAACGCATTTGAATATGGACTGCTTGGTTCTGGCCAGCCCCCAGTCCCCCTGCAATCCGAGCCTTGGGGTTCCCTCCCCCCCCCACTCTGCCGGTGCTCCTAAGTCCAGATCTGCTGCCCCCCACTGCTTTGTTGCCAATAGAAAATCAAACAGCCTGAAATTGCAAGATGCCCCTGATATGAAAGGTATCAACTACATAAATTAATGATCAAAAGCTGAGTGGCAACGTGGGCTAGTGGCTGGGGCACTGGATTGAGACTCAGGACTCCTGGGTTCTTTTGTTGCTCTGGCAGGGGTTTGGGGTGAAATGGGTTAGAGGATGTAGGGTGGAGGGGGAGTCAGGACTCCTGGGTTCTATTGTCGTACTGGGAGGGGAGTGGGATCGAGTGGGTTATGGCAGGAGGGACTGGGGACCATGATCTTGGTTGAGTTCTGTGTAGCACCTGGTGTGACAGAGCCCCCAGTCTCAATGCGGGGGGGTTCTGTGCAGTGCCCAGCATTAGGGGGCCCAGATCTCAGTTGGGATGGGTCTGTGCAGCACCCAGACTGATGGGGTCCCTGATCTTGGTCGGGGTCTGTGCAGGGCCTGGTGCAGTGGGGTTCCCGATCTCAGCTGGGGTATGAGCAGACCCACCCATCACTCACCTGCCTCAGGATTCAAGCTGAGGTATATTTCGGCTCTGGGGCCCGTCGGCAGCCAGGGTTGGTCTGTGTCTCTGCTGGGAGAGATGCACTTTGAAGGTGCATCAAGGCACCGCAAAAGGTCTCCTGTGTTCTCAGTGGCTCAACCATCCTCACGCTCCCCCCAGCACTGAGCTCCTGCCCCCCTTTACACCCCCAGCCACAGCTAGCTGGGAAGGAAGCTGTGGCCAGCAATTGTTCCACTCATGTAGTGAATCAAATGCACCTACCGTGGGTGTCAACCCAGGTTATGAGGAGCTAGAGAGGCTGAAAAGGAACCCACAGTGAGACAAATCCTGCACTGAGTCATTGGGGCCAGCACTGCATGCCCGGGAAGAGCGCCCCCTATTGAGCCGCAGCCCTGCAGCACAGCACCCCCTAGTGCCACACTGGGGCCAGCACCTAGTGCCTCAGGGACCCTACTGTAAATACAGAGCCACCCCACCGATGCCAATGGAATCAGGCCAGGATTCTGATCCCTGGGTAAATCCAGAGCAAGCTCAATGCCCTGGCCCTGTGGGGCAGGCTGGGGCGGAGGTGGGGAAATTGGGCACTGAGCGGGGGACAATGACCCTTGGCTGCAATAGAGCAGGTTTGAGGTTTCTTTCTCTGTCTCTGTTCTCCCAAGTTTTGTTCTATCCACCCTTTCATGCCCTGGGACTCCAACCCCAGGGTCCCACAGTTCCCATATTCCCCCATCAGGGGATTCTGCTCACTCCTTCACCCCTTGCTGGTAGGACCCCATCACCCTTCACCCCCATTATCTTGCCGGGGGTCACCCCACTTTCTGCATCCCCATATATTCTACCAAGGGTCTCCCTCACTCCATCCCAGCATGCCCCTTATCCGCTTTTGTCTCCTTCCCCCCCATGGAGATACAAGCTGGGGGTGGGGGTGTGGCATGCTGTACCTCAAAATAACAGCCAGGAACCCCCATATTCAACACTGTGATATGACAATGAAATGTTTTGTACAATACATGCTGTCAAGGTTCCTTCCCCACTCTGAACTCTAGGGTACAGATGTGGGGACCTGCATGAACCCCCCCCCCCAATATCCTGCCCCCCAAATCAGAGTACATGGAGGGTCAAAATGCAAGGCTAGATTGGCCCGTGGCTCTTCTCGGGGGCAGGATAACAGGCTAGAAGGGCCCATGGGTCTAATCCAGAGTGGCACGGAGGGGGAAGGATAGCGGGCTAGATGGGACCATGGGTCTGTTCAGGAGTGGTGCGGTTGGAGCAGGATACTGGGCTAGCTGGACCCATGAGTGTGACACTGCATGCCATATTTCTCATCGTAATATTATTATGATATGAT